AACGTTCAATGAACGTTGGTAAAATATCTACAGTAACGGTCAATGCACGTTGCCAAAAAAAAACATAAACAACGGTCTTTGAATGTTGCGAAAGGGGGTATTAGCAACAACCACTCAAAGAACGTTGCTAAATCTTACTTTTCTCAACCAATGGCAACATACATTTGCTGAATGTTGCAATAAATCTCTTTTAGCAACATACAATTGGTGAATGTTGCCATTGAAATGTTGTAAAAAGTCATTTTTCTTGTAGTGTCTCTCTTTTTTTTTAATCACACATTGTTCAATAAAATAATATTACACGTAAATCGAAAATTTTTCTTATTTTTCAAGTTTCAACAGCACATTCTCGAAAAGATTACTATTTCAAAATACATTTTTAAGAAAAATGGGGCTCAACGGAGGCTTAATATTGATAATAGAAATTTGAATTCCAATATCTTTGATTTATGGGATATCTTTTTGTAGCTTTGGATTGATGCAAAAATTACATACGGCTCATCAATCATTTGGTGTCCCAATTGGATAAATATCGATTTGATCTCTTTTTCTTTCAGTTTTCTATTCTGCTTTAACTAAAATACCTGTCCGTAACCTAGCAGATGGCTTTTCCCGGATGAAATGAAAATTGGATTCATGTAACAGGATTGAACAAAATTGTACATACTCTAATTAGCTTTCTGCAAATAGACTAATTTAGTACATACCATAATCAGATAGAAAACTTACTGTAATTGCTCATATTCGGCTATATAAGATGATGGAAACCCTAGATTGAAGGGCATTCGAACCATTTTGACACAAACTATTAGATAATGAATGAAATTAATTATTTATGGTTTATATGTTCAGTAGACCTAATTTTCGTTGAAGAAGTATGCTTGTATGTATTCCAATGATGGACATTTCTATTGAACCGATAGTGGTAAATTATATTTAATAACTCAATGTGTATTGATGAAAATTCTTTTGTTCGTTGATTCATTTATTTTGCTTATACAATTAAATTTAAAGAAAAAAAAAGCTTAATATAATTAAACCAAGGCAGTATAGAATAAGCTGACCATAAAATACTCATGAATAAAATATTTTTAAACAAAACTTAAAATCACCTAGTTAGAATTGGAGTTCCTCATTGAAAAATTATAATTAAAAAAAACATGCGGACAACATATGCATCATTGTAATGGTTAGGTTCATTTGAAACTTTCTTAAGCCACATTTTTAGCTTTCTTGCATGTATTCTCTTTTTCTTCATCATCTTTTCTTAAATATTACGATAGAATAATTGGAATTCATTTAACTCTTAAACTAATTGCATGTACAAGAACCTATCAACCTATTTATGTAATTAAAAGCTTGTTTGAAAAGTGTTTTTAAATGTTTTAAATTATAAATTAGATAGATGCGAGTGGTGGATGAATGGACAGTATATGTGGGTTTCTTGAAATGTGTGGAATAAAAATCGACTGAATGTTTATAAACTTGACCCAAAAATAGGCCAAGTAACATAAATGATTAATAAGGAACTAAAAAATCTACGCAATAAAGGAACAAAATAAAATTCCATAGTGTTCTTTTCACATAAATACAAAAATGTGATATTAATTACTCCATTCATTGTTTAAAGCTATTTAAGGCTTACGCCTCGAATCCCATCTCACATGAGGCTTTAATAAATGCCTCAAAGCTTACAACTCGAGACACATTTATGAGGCTTACGCCTCAAACCTTAAGAAGACAAAGGTTATCTCGTTTGTCTTGCTTTTTCTGGATATTTTGTCAATGGACTCAGATTTTTTCCCTCATTTTTAGTCTTTATTGGAATGGTAGGGGAATACGCGATAGCTAGTGAGGATGATGACAAAGAATGAGAGAAAAAAAAAAAGTAATAGTGATGAGGAGGATGATGTTGATGATTCCCTTAAAGATTCTATTATAATTTTATTTAGTGATTTCTAACTCAAGAACTTGTTATTCGATACTTTATTAGTCTATTTTGTTTTTGTTTGCAAGCTAGACTTCTAAATTCATTTTTTTATTTTTTAAGATGCTTTATGATTTATATGAACATATTTTTGAATTTTATATAATAGTAAGTAATCATTTCTCAAGGGATCAACAATTCGGGCCCAAAAAGTCCACTTTCTTACTTAAACAACATCCGTGCACTTGGTTTGCACATTCATAGCGAACATTAATAGATCAAGTTGAAATTTCAATATTCGACAATGATACTTGAAAATTTTGAAGTTGTAATCCTATTTGTTTGTTGGGCTATTTCGTACATTTCTATGCTTTGACACTTCGACAATTAAGTTAAATTATCGGTTGTGCTACATGTACATCATCATTTATAGATTAGTGTACATACATGTGACGTGATGAGATATGATTGAATCAAAATTTCTTAGATCAAATAAACATAAATAAATAAATTTCTCCACTTTTTTCTTGATGAATAATTCTACTTGTACATAAAGGAGTTAAAAAAAAGTTTCACAGATGGATGAGGTGTCAAGAAGAAAGTGGAGGAGATTTTTTTTTTTTTTTTTTTTTTGAAGAAATTTTGACTCAATCATATCTTACCACATTATATATGTAAATCATATATTACAACCACTTCTTGACACCTCATTAATTTATAAAAAAATTTGTAACTCTATATATAAGTAGTATTATTCCTTAACGTTATCCACACCTTCACAAATCTGATACATCAAATCTCCAGTCTTTAATTTGGCAGCAGCTCATTCATTTTTATTATTATTATTATTATTATTATTATTTGGTTGTTGGACGTACCTACAATAATTTTATAGGCAGGGCCAACAAGATTGTGGTGTCATGATATACTTACCTGTTCACACATTTATGTATTAGTTTCAGTATACGTCATTGATCTGCTATTTATTTTCTCGAATCTGGTCTTAGTTTGTTGCTGGAGTGGTCTTGTCAATCAATGGAGGCACAAAATTGGACACTTTCCGCAACGATGAAGGAAAGGAAAAAAAAAACCCTACGCTGCGATTTCTTTGTATTAAGGAGGACTCAATTGAAAATGGCTTTTTAATGTGTATTCTAGAAAACTCTTATATAATTAAAGAAAGGTTCCGTACATTTAATTAGATGAACCTGACATGGCTAATTGACCGACAAGGATAGAAACAGGAACAAATTGTTAGCTTTTGCATCAAAATTTAAATTGATAACCCCACTTGAAGTTATATAGAAAGTTGAGTAACATTCAGCGTTATTAATCCCCTGGTACCGTGCATGGAATCAAATCTCCTTCATGGCAAGATTCCTTTGTTTGACTTCGGCAATAGACACGGATGTGCGTTATTTTGTTTTGAAAAACCCGTTTGGCCCGGGTTAAATCCCAGCCAAACAATGGCACCCCCTATTGGAGGGGCGGTTGTTGGGGAACAACCGCTCCTCCAATAGGGGGGGCGTCCCTATTATTTGGCTGGGATTTAACCCTGGCAAAACAACACGACTCTTTTGTTTTTCCAAGGGACGAATGTAAATATCATTTTTTTCCCCCCTTTTCTTAGATTATCACCATATATTCATGAATAATGTTATGTAGACTCATTAAGGTTGTAACTCCAATCTAAATGACACTAGATAATAAGCTAAATGAAATATGGAATTAAATGACTTATTTAATTTTACCTATTATTTAATGTCACATTAAAGCCACCTAAATTGGGGTTGTAATCCCAAATTTCCAATAAGACTAAATAACATTATTCTATATCCATAAAGAACTATACGAGGAAGAAGTGCCTCGAATTTGTATTCTCTCACCTATTTTGTCTTTGTCCTCGCTACAATTTAGCCCTTATTTTGTATCTATTTTAAAATTCATGTTTCTCTAAACTCATTTCAATCAAATATTTTATAAGACCTACAACTTTTATTAATTTTTCAACTTTTATCAAAGTTTACTGAAAGTCTATTATTTAGTCATGCCAAATAGGAGCTTAATATCCAAATGAAGCCTTTAAATTTAAAGGGTGGATTAAAATTTTCAAATTGTTCCTGTCTATCATACATCTGTGTTCAGTTTATTATGTGCATTGAAGAGGTCTTGCTTTTACCACTATTGTATTCTTGGCCTTTGGTATTCATAAAGTCTACTTGTTCTAGTTCTTACATTGAAAATTTGTTCAAAAACAAAGACACAAGCAAGGAAGCTACAAGGCTAGAACATACTCTCCAAAATACTTTTGAATTTAACTTCCTTCGTGTTTGTATGAGAAAAAATTGTGTTGTGCACATGTTTTGATTTTACATTTTTTAAAATTAACACGAAATGATTTTTGCACGAGCATTTGTACTAGAATTTGTAGCTTATGTATTCATTTAAAAAAAAAATGGTGTTCTATGGTCATGGTGTTGTGCAGATTAGTCCAACCCTCCCTGAGCCCCTGAACCAAAGCCAAAACCTACCTTCAAACTTTTTCTCGCATTCAAATTCAGTTAAGCCAGTTCATACATCTGATGACTTTTTTTCTTTGGAAAATAAAAACATTGGCATCTACAAAGAACAATAAATTTGACCATTTTCTAACGAACTGCATCAAAGAAAAGGTCCCCAAGGTGGAAGAATCCATTTTTTCCTGGAGAGGGATTTGTGCCATCTTTGAGAATGGCCGTAGATTTCCCAAATTGTGATGCTCATTTTAAGAATAATGTTGTCTCAAGAGTTATCCAAAATGGTCGTAAATGCAAGGGGATGTTTGCAAATGTTCCGTTTCTCTATGGCTGGAGACAATAAAGTCCCACCAACGAGAACAAAACCACTTAAAGTTGTGGGATTATCCTATTTACAGGGACTACGGAATCAAAATCAACCCTCCAAAATCATTGCTAAAACAGCATAAGCATCAACACAAATAAGTTGATTCTGAATGTAACATTCTGTATCATTGCCAAAACAACATAAATAAATAAATAAAGCATTCAACATACATTATCAATCAATTCCAACGAGAACTATAACTAAAAATTGTTGATAAAGAGCGATTTACACTTTGCTGCATAAACAAAGCAACTTCGTATTTTCACCACTGAAATGTACAAGTCAGTTTGATGAAAGATTAAGGCTTTGTTTGTCTACCATTTTCCCACACTATCACATTATTTTTTTTATAGTACTCATTTTTAACCACACGTTCTTCAATAAAATAATATTACACGTAAATCAAAAACTTTTCTTTCTTTTTTAACCACACATTTCAACATCAATCACTATTCCATAATACATTACTCACCAATAATAGGACAGAAACAAACACTAAATACTTACAACCGCCTAGAAATACTGATCTTTTTTATCCACACGTCAGCTAGTAATGCAGACTACCTGGGGTACAGATAAGCGCAGCAGCGGTGTCTCTCCACTTCCTTAAAGATTATCCTGGAAAACAAAATAAGATCAAGTCAACTCAAAATGATGAAGAAGTGCATATTCTCTCACCGCCAGTGAAGAATGCTTTTGTAAAAGCAAAATGTTTTCTTTACCTCTTGATTTTCTTTCTTTGCATATTTTCTTTGTAAAATGTCGCTGAAAGGTCTCTCAGGAACAGGAATCAGCTTCCCAACAATGGCTAGAGGCCAGCTGATCGAGAGAATAAAAAGTGATATATCATACCAGACATGAGAATAATGCAAGGATATCCCAATAGTGATGCAATTATAGACCCAAAAACACATTATTGGGATTAAAGCAACCATCCATATGATGATGTGAAGAAATAGCATCTGTGTATCTTTCAGAAGATAAGTATTAACAAATACAATAGACTCTCAACTAAAATAAGATGTATGGTTGAAAAATACCAGCTATAAGTTGTAAGCCAAAATGCCATGTAATGTAAAACCAACCTGATTATACCGATGACAACGGAAACAAGCCATAGTTTCCAACTGAGTCTAACTGTTGAAGTAAACTTCCCAAGAAAAAATATTATGATAACCTGAACAGCAAGAGTAGACTTATAAATTGCAAGAAATTTTGGGGCATCTACTAGGAGAAAAGATAACGGAAATAACCTGAAGAACCACTGTAAGCCCAACTATTCCCATGAAAAGACGGTTTTTAGTAACCCCTTTCCACACATTGATCTCGTCAGGCTTTCTAGCATTCAACTCATTAAATATCTGTAATTATAAAAAACAGAAATTAGTTAAGGTACATGGAAAACAGCAGTTTAAAATTTGGCAAATTTAAGATAAAAAGTGCAGAGCAGTTTCAGCAAAATGATTTCAACTAGATTAATATTGAAGTCTTTCTTTAGCAACATTTACAATTCATTTATAAATGGCCAAACTTCATTTTCCACCACACATTACAATAGACCCACAAGTACTATCCACTTATACATCACTCATTTATAAATTAAACCGTTTATAGATTCTTCCCAAACAGAGGCTAAAACATAGAACTGAACAGAGTGCAGTCAGTTGAGCATTCAATCCTATCATAGACTTCACAGAGATTCATGTTCTTCAATACTTTGATGATAATATCAGCCAAACATTCATATTGTGAGACAGAATCCTTGATCCTTCACTTGCCGGTTATGTATAACAAAATCAAATGATCATTATTGTAAAAGCAGACTAAATAATCCAATTACAAAAACAAGAATGTATTTTAATACAAAGGGAGAGAGAGAAAAATGGAAAACATTCAGACTAGATACTCAAAACCCTTAACTGCAGTGCAGCCTGTTAGTGCCTCTATGTTTGCAAGTATGACAGTGAACTAGTGTCTAAGCGTGAGTGTGAGGGTGAGAAGGTGGGTGGGAGTGGGAGTGGGAGTGGGAGTGTGAGAGTGTGTGTGTGTGTGTGTGAGTGAGAGAGAGAGAGAGAGTTTATGTAACAGAAAGATTATTACTGGAGGGGATAGTAATCAAGAGTCATCAAATGACAAAAATATATCATTGCAAACACCTATTATCTATTTTTCTATGCAAACAAAACAAATCATTTGGATTTACGATATACAGTGAAGCAAACAGGTTGCGTATTAGAAAGAAAAATTCAAGATTCAATAATTTACACAGAACAGCATACATATTATTTCGACATGCCACCATTTCAATTTGAAGATAGATAAATTCAACAGCATTTCCGATATCTACAATTTGCTCTATGTAGGAAAAGTAAACACTATCATTTCTCAATGCACTTACCTGACAAAGGACAAACGCATTGAATATAAGTGTATTCTTCAGTTTGGAAGCCTGATCATCTGATTCATGCTCTAAATTCAGAATGCTTCTTCCCCGGAAATTCAGGATTAAGAGAACGATCACTTGGTATAGAGCCTGCAATCGTTCAACCATCAACAATTAGAACAGGATGTTTAATGAAGTATATTATTTTCCATCCAAATATAAAATAATATAGTTAACACAGAACTTTGATACCTGAATTATCAAGTTCCTCCACATGACATTTGTAATGAGAGGTTCCCTAAAACATTGACACAAATGCCCGACCAGTAAATGGATTCAATCTCAGGAAGTGAATAACAGAACTTAATGATATAGAAAAGAAATAAAAGGCCATCTCTACACCATGGTGCTTTCTGATAACTAAGAAACACTCTTAAGGTCGAGCCTGGTACAAGGGAATGGGGAAGGAAGAGGATCAGGACTCCCTTTTCCATTCCAAATACCATACTTGGCATAGTAGATTCCTGAAAGAACACATTTCCATGCGAATCCCCATTCAGAAAAATGGATTTTCTCATCTCCTTATTGTACATTCCCCAACTAATTAGGAAGGAACCCGTAAGAGTCCAACTGAGCTTAAAAATGTATGGAATGGCTCATGACATCTCTCTATAACATAGAAGAATAAAATGAGATTTAAAGGGGCACTCTAATCACCTCCAACCTCTCTTGTAATCTTTATTAACCAATTCCAGCAGCAATTTGATTTCCAGTAACCACTATCAGCTAAGCTAATAATTTCCTCCCCTCTCACTCAATCTATTCATCTCGCTTCTTCTAACTAAAAACCCTATTCCAACATTGAAGGACGGCCAAAAATTCAACAAACTTAGCAAAACCACCACTAGGAATACCTTCTCTCTTTTGGATTTTTCATTTTGAAGGGAAAAAATTAAAATAAATAAATAATAATAATAATAAAACAAGGGAATAGAATGGCCAATAAAATATTTGATTTCTTTACTTTTACGAATGTTTTCCTCATCTTAATCAATGATTATAATAAGGGAAAGTTACAGATTGACAAGGCAAGACTAAATAAATTGACCGACTTCAAATTAACAAATTCAATTATCTTTTCTTTTTTTGTAGCTATTTTAATGCTGATTATGCTAACGATATTAATTACAAGACAATATTACGAACTTATATATTTTGAAATTACAATTCAATTAACTGTTTATTTAATTTTTATAGTAATATTAACGGCAATTTTCTCGAAATCTCTGTGGGTTGTTGAAAACTTGCACATGGGTTTCTGCTGATTTTAAGATAATTGAATGACATAACAGTGACAGAGGTTCGTGAAGATTTGCAGAGAATGGAATGAAATGATGTGATTGCAAATTGCAAAATATAGTGCTCTCCGCCAACTATATTTTCAAGTTATCCTATTATGAACAAGAAACGCAGTTCATACATCGACACTGAAATTCAATTGCATTATATGATCATTATTTCTCCTTCTGTACCAGGGGAGGAGGGAAGAAGATACAGTTCACCACTCAACTAACTAAATTTTTAGGTCACATATAAAATAAACTTCAGACCAAAGTGAATGATATATGAACAATCTAACCTTCTACCCACAGGAGGCCTATGCATCAGATGATCTGTAGGAGGTTCAGTTGCTAGTGCCAGGGCCCCTAGTGTATCCATTATAAGATTTACCCAGAGAAGCTGCTCAGAAGGAAGATAATGATAAAGTTAGTATCTGAACCTAAATTTTAAGTGAGGATTAAGAACCCGTGCCTACAAAGAAATAAAGCACACAGATAAATACTACTCAAAACATGGTCACAGAGAGAGAGAGAGAGAGAGAGACCACAAACCTGCACTGCATTTAATGGGACATTACCAGCAGAAACTGCAGCCACAACATTGATTATAAGAGCTGCAACATTAACAGTGAGCTGAAATTGTATAAATTTCTGAATATTGGCATAAACAGATCTACCCCACCGCACCACCTACAATTAACATAAAAATATAATCAGCAATCTCAACTATTGTCATAATATTTTCAATTCACAGAGACTTCCACGAGACAGCAAGAAAGAAAATCTATGTGACTATCCCTCAACGAATAATTGATTTACAATAAGAGCAATCTGCACTACAGCAATAATAGTTCGATTCGGAGATAATTTCAGTAACAATGAAAATCTATGGCCCAAAAGGTAGATCTGATAGAAATGTATACTATATACCACATAACAAGCCAAAGAATCATTTAAGACACCTCTAAGGAATTCTATTAGAACCCTAGCTCAAAAGATTACATGCTATGCTGACAGAAGCTTAAAATAATGCAAGTCCAGAAAACCATAGCTTGTTAAGTTACAAAAATATAAGCCTCATTCATGTCAAGAAATCATGAAACTTTGACATTATTTTATACAAAATTATGAAGGATAGATGATGCAGATGTCCACCTTATTTTCATGGTGAACATGCCCCTTGCAATTGCTAAATCCAAAATGTCAAATTAGCATTGAGGTGACAGTTGGAATCAGCTAATATGCTATACTGCTTTACTATAATATATTCTCTTGATAGCATGCTTTCATTTAATTTTGAAGAAACATTCAATCATTCATAAGATGAGAAAACTAGTTTTACGCATTTCTAAGAGCCAAACTAAGACATTTTTTGAACAGCAATCAACATTGACATGCTTGCGATAAAGACTCACCTTCACTACTGAAGCAAAATTATCATCCAATATGATGATGTCAGAGCTCTCTTTGGCAACTTCTGTTCCTTGGATACCCATTGCAAGACCAATATCAGCCTACACCGTAATGCAATTACAAACCAGATTATATGAACCGAGGAAAGAAAAACAAGCAAAACAACAATTCTTTATAATAACTCATTATGCTACACACTGTCACATGTTCATTAGTGAAAAATGCTTGTTCCCAAGCCCAATCCAGCACCAAAATGATGATCTTAATTATCATAGTCAACTCATGCAATTGCCACAGAATGGGTTAGATAAAATTTCATTTTCATACCACCAAATAAGCTGATTCATATTCTGATGACATTTGAAACCTAAAAATTGGCCCTTGCATGAGCCAATATTTTCCCATGTAAGTTACAGAACAGGTACGTAGATGTTTAGCAATCAGTGAAGGAGCAAACCTCATGTAGTGCAGGAGCGTCATTAGTACCATCTCCAGTAACAGCAACAACATGTCCCTTCCTCCTTAATGCTTGAACAAGCAATAGTTTGTCATTTGGTGATGACCTACCCATCACCTGCAGGTGAAATGTTAAATAACAGATGTCATGCGTGCCACTTGAGTTAATTTCATACAGTCACCAGCCAAAATATTAGGGCTACCAAGTTAACTGAAATACCGAAATTTTATCAACCACTTCCAGCCTCTGCATCTCAGACATGGCACGGAATGCCTTTCCTTCAATAAGATTTGGCTCAATAGCATCTCCATTTGATCCTAATATCCCGCACTCTAAAGCTATTGCTTTTGCCGTTTGAAGATTGTCTCCAGTGACCATACGTACCTATAAAATTGTTAAAGAAATATCAACCTAGTTGCAGGTGTTGACAAGATACATGGTGTCAATGGAATATAAGGAAAGCTCGAATATTTAATAAGCTTGAATATGAGGAAAGTTACCATATGTAATGTGTTACTATTAATGAATATTGTAATTGATAGCTACCATATTTAGTTGTGATTTTAGTTCTATATAATGATAGAATCTCTCACATTGAAAAGCATAGTCTTATTAAGTATCATTAAGTCTATTTAACATGGTATTACAGCCAGTTCCTTAGAATTCTCTTGTTTTCTAGGTAGTTGTGAAAAATGTTTCTTGTTGTGGTTTTGACTTTCGGATGATGAGTTAAGAGTTTTGGATTTTCGAAGGAGGATCATCCTTGGGTGGTTTTGATTCTAAGAGGAGGATCGTTTTTGAGTTTTGGTGTAGGCTATTTGGTGGGATTTCTTCTAACTGTAGCATATTGGCCAAAGATATATTGTTGGTTTTTTGGCCTGTGCATTGGCCGTTAGAGCTTTTGTTGGAACACAAACTACATGTTCGACTTCTGTTCTCCCAACCAATAGAGCTCATTGTGTGTGGTCAGCACACTTCATGAATTTCTTTTAGAAATTCTTCTAGGTGTGTGAGCTCTCTAGAGTGGTTCTAGAGTGTTCTTGGAATGGTTCTTGGTTGTTTCTGCACTATGTTGTTCTTGGGTCTCTTATAAGCATCAATTTGAGGAGGGATGTCAATAAAATATAAGGAAAGATACCATATTTAATAGATTACCATTAATAAATATTGTAATTGATAGCTACTATATTTAATTGTAATTTTGGTTCTATATAATGAGAGAATCTCTCATATTGAGAAGCATCGAGTCTATTAAGTATTTGCACACAGGGCAACATCAAAGTATAAAAGCAGTACAAAGACCATGAATCCCATTTCAACAGCCATAGTTCTCCATCAAAGGTCCAGGAGCAAAATCTTCCCTTTGAGTGATAAAAGTTTTAATAGTTTATTGACTAAGAAAAGGTATTCTGTTCTGAAACCAGATAAGTGGCATTCTAAACTAAGCACAATAAACATCGATCAGCCACCATATCAACTCAACAAAGTCCTACCCAACATGAATCCAGGTGATAGCCTCTTGTACACACACTCATCATGCCATAAGCAAGTTCAAAGACACTTGATAATTTGTATAAACTGTTTAAGTATCTGAGAAGAAGTGGGTCACTGCACATCGAAATGTCAATGAAGAAGATCGGCATACATTTACAGATATAAGCAATAAGAAGAAATGCAATGTGGTATTCAAAGTCATCCAATGTATGCCACCATTACAGATAGTGTCATCAATAGATTAAAAAAGGATAATTACATATCAACATTTGGTGCCATATGCTAGGGGAAATTACATTGTTAATTTGAATAATAATGTAGAATAAAACCTAAATAACTAAAATATAAAGACATGACAGCAAACCCAAATGTCATGGGTGTCGATTTTTCTCATAAATCCCTACAAAGCTTATCTGATAGACACGTTAGCTTACAAGCTTGTAAGTTCATATGCTAATAAGCGACCCAAACCATCTTAATTTCCATAAGAAAAACGCCAGTGTACAAATAATGAAAGCATATTTGCATGATATCTGACAGCATTTCACATTAGAGATTTTTCATGGTCTCTTCCCATCTTGAAACCACAAGTCAAGTTTCTAAACACATCCAGCTACTTCAGTTGGCCCAGAAATATAAAACCATATGAAGACAGAACTATTAGAAACACTAAAACGAACACCAGAATCTAAGCACAAGGTGTGGACAAAAATATGCAACAGTTTGGCAAACAACTTATATTCACAAATTTCAAGAACCCAGAATAGCATCTCCCTACTAATGAAAAAAGACAAGATGTTGCAATATCAGAAGATTATAAAGAAGACGAATACAAGATTGATATGCCAACAAAAGATACAAAGATGACATGAAAAGATTGTTATGTTTTATATATCATTGTTGAAAAGAGATCGATATACCTTAACACCAGCATCAATGCACAATTTAACTGCATCTCTCACACCTGGTCGACAAGGATCCTATATCAAAGATGAGTGCTCTCTTAGTGACGAAATACACATATGGCAATTGTATATACGTACTTTTACGCAAATGTATTTTACATATGGCCAGCGTCTACGCATATTTGATGGAATCGTATTTCACAAAGAAAAATAATTTGGCATTTAAGGAGACACAGAAAATATTAGTGACGTTAAAGGAAAAATAAGGAAAAGAAGAAAGAATACTTTCCAAGATATGAAGTACAGAATAAGATCAGGAGCAGTAAGAAGTGGTAATATGCAAAGGAGTGAAAGGCCAAATATAAAGAAGAAATCAGGCCCCAAAAGCAGGCCGAAATCATATTGTAAACCAAAATCAACCATACAAAATGATGTGGAAGTATTTTGGATGGCAGGAAGATTGTAGTTACAGGCAGAGTCAGGAAACAGCCGCTATCTGATATGCTGATGGTAAGACCAAGGAATGTCGCCTAGAAGATGCTTTCCCATACTCAAGAGTACATAAATAACAGCACTTTGATATGGTCTTGAGGATATATAGATAGCCTTCTGATCATAGAAAGAATGGAGATGAATGCTCTCTACAGAGGCATGGGAAATTAGATTTACTTGATCATATTTACATAGACGGTATTTGATCCCCATTTTTTATGAAAAAATGCATTTTAGAATAATCGATTGATGGAAAATGTGTGGTTGAAAAATAAGGAAAAGTTTTTTATTTATGTGTAATATTATTTTAATGAATAATGTGTGGTTGATGAGAAGAGAGAGAAAAATGTATTTTGAAAAGAATGGGAATCAAACAAGGCCATTAGATGAAAAACTGAAACGGGGATACGATAAATCACTCAGTGATCTGAATTTACAGATGACATTTATTTGTACTGCATTTAATGAAATATCTCATGCCTCCCAAGATTGGGGATGTCATCTTTGGAAGAGAAAGTTACAACAGACAGTAGAACAGATTGTTAATTTTTACTTATTATCTTTTGAGAAAAGTTAAAACCATAATCAGAGGCTGATAGTGTTCATACATCATATTTAAGAGTACCATAAATACCATAATTTTAATATGGTCTCGAGGATATATAGATAGCCTTCAGATCATAAATATAATGGAGATGAATGCTCTCTACAGAGGCAAGGGAAATTAGATTTACTTGATTATATCTATATAAGGTCAAAAACTGAAAGGAGGATACAATAAATCACTTAGTGATCTAAATTTACAGATGACATATATTCGTACTATATTTAGCCCCCATTTGAGCTTCATTTTAACAAAAAATGAATTTTGTAATACTTATTTTTTGGAGATTGTGTGGTTAAAAAGTAGGAAAAAGTTTTGGATTTACATGTAAATTATTTTAATGAGTTAGAGAAAAAATATATTTTGAGATAATGGGGCAAACAGGGGCTTAATGAAATATCTCATGCCTCCAAGATTGGGGGGATGTCATCTTTGGAAGAGAAAGTTACCCAAAGACTGTGGAACAGAGAATTGATCTTGAAAGATATTAATCTTTCAAGAAAAGTTAAAACCATTATCAGAGGCCGATACTATTCATACATACCTTGATGCCAACAATGGCAAGTAAAATAAGGTTTTTTTCTGGTAATTGCCAATTTGCCATTTCCACATCATTTGAAGGGACCTTCTCAATCTCATATGACCTGTAGGCAATAGCAACACAGCGTAGACTTCCTGCAGCCATATCTTCTATTGCTTTCCTGAAATACGATACCTGCAAGACAAGAATAAATGCACTTATAATTAATATCAAGTCCAAATATTTTTAAACAATGAAAATACTTGTACACGTATTTGGAAATATCTGTCTTTATCATTTAAGACTGAACACACTGCTTTATAAATTTTCCTATATCATCAGAACCAGCTAACCTCTTCATATTTAACAAATTAGAGCAGACAATATTTTCAAGTTTTTAAATACCCAATATTAATGAAGAACCTCCCACAGAAGGGAACAGAAAGAGGAAACAGCTAGTTAACTATGAAAAGAAAATTTCAGAAAACCTTGTCTTCTTTCATTTGCACCACACAGCCATTTGCATCCATATAATCGGTACAAGATGCAAGGACTATTTCTGCAGCCCCTTTCCAGTGTATATGAACTTCCGAATCCAACTGGAAAAAGAATTATAGATAAATACAATGAGTGGATACATACGACGCTACCGATATCCTACTAAAAAGAATGAACGAAACTAAATCTAACCACTTAATTATTATATTTGGCTTCATACACCTTTCGTTTTGCATCCTTCCACTCCTACTTCCCAGAGCAAGTCCATTTATATTAATATCAAATATAGTAGGGAGCTACACTTGGTTGAACTTGAAAATTTATTATTCCTATCCTTATGAATCCGACAATACTATGTTATTTCCTTTACTTGTATTGGGCATCTATCATTACAGACAAATGAAAAACTTTTTCAAACCACATTATAACATTTAATTGATTTATTCTGTTACCAGCTTTAGAGCAACGCCACCTCTCTTTTTCTCCGAGTTGAATGGAAAAGCATGGATTACTAGTGACTCTGATCGAACAGCATCAAAATCCATCCCAAGCTACAGGAGACATAACAACTCAGGTAAACGAAATAGTATAAGAGAATGAAGGAATGTACCGACTCACAAACATAATTATCTACATTACATTAACAGCCCATTGAATAATGGCCTTTTCTGTTGGCGATCCCGAAATCTCCACGGTTGTACCACCCTGTTAAAGACCGGCAACAAGAAGTTTGAATATTTTAGCTTTGTAATGGTCTAAAACTAATCAGGTATTGATAATATTTTGTCAAGATGCTTGAGATTTCAATGTAACTATGAATGCTTGACAAGATTCTTATTCTACACATGTAGCTAATGTTTAGATCTTCCTTTCCAACAATAACTAAATATTGGAAGTAACATTTCATAGAAAACCAGGATAAACACAACAAGCTTTGTGTAGATTTGCGATATCTACATCATCTAACACCAACACATTTACGGTGTTAATTCAATGCAGACGGTTCATGCCAAAAACAAATAAAAGAACATATAAAAAGTCAGACAGATGTAGCACTTCGAACAATATCTCCAATCTCTTCTTAAGACAAGAAACAAACAACAATTTGTAGTCAACTTCCTCTTTTCAACACAAGAATACAATTAAGATTAATAACCTACTCATTGTCCACAAATTCCAAAAATCGTGAACGGAAATTCAGGACTACCATGATATGATGAATTTCGGAGTATATTAAGTAAGAAATTTCAGCATGCAATGAACAGTTTGCATTTCAAAAGTCAAAATGCTTCTCAAAGTTCAGAATTTTATCCAGCGCTTCCCACTGAGGTAACAATCCCCTCCAAAATTGTAGACAACCTCAACATTAAAGTGATTTTATGGTGTCAGGTGCAGTAGTCTTATGTGCACGTAACTTGGGGGATTATATTGATAGTCAGAAATGGTAGTAAGTTAGGAGGTCCAGGAAACTGCTGCTACCATGCCCAAAATATCGGGCTGGTGCAGAGTTGTACTGCTCGAAGATCCTACTAGCAATTGATTAGTGACCACTCCAGAGATAGAATAGAAAGCATGCTGTCAAAGATTGCACCGACGGTGCTGCACCATTTTGATGCTGAAGCACATGTAGGTGTCAGCATTGCTGTGCATTAAAGGCAGCAGGGCAGAAATCCATATTTTTTTCCTTACTGAAGGCAATGAAAATCTGGTGATAAGATGAAAGTGAAGGCAGGGTGCAGGAAGGGAATGGTAATCAGGGGGTGCTGGTAAAATGTTTCTATCATTTCATTTTCTTTACTTAAGAAACCGAGGCCTGAACCACCTTTTATTGACGTGTAAATCTCTGGTAAGAGAGAAAATCCCAAACCACTGGGCACCAAATCAACTTGTGAAGTATACAACTTGTGAATAAGAATCTCTGAACAAGCATGCTTGCACACATTCACTGACACATCAATTTCAGACAAAACTAATATTACACTATAAAATTACATGCCGTCACAATCTATCTAATAAGCTAATAAAAATAATCAAAAACACAAGCAATACACTACCCTAAGCATCGCTATAATCATTCAATTAGAATATCACGTAAAATTCATGTCCTAAATGGTTGCTATTCAGCGCACCTCAGGGACATATACACTGCCAGTTGTGTTCTGTGCAATGCCTTCAATAAGCAGAGACATAACACCAGGAGGAAGCAGTGACTTATTCTCGGGGGATTCAATCTTCTTGCCACAAGCAAACACATCAACCACAGTCATCTGCAGAAAGTTTGGGGGAAAAAATCGTTAAAAAAAAGAACGAATTTCTAGATCTCCACCAATTACTCAATAGCTGAAGCAACTAACAAACTCCTCCGTGCCTTCTCCTCCCAAAGAGAAAATTTCCCCAAGATTAGTGTAAGCAAAATAAGGAAAAAAATACCAACCTGATTCAAAGTTAGGGTCCCGGTTTTATCACTGCAAATTGTTGTTGCTGAGCCCATGGTTTCACAGGCTGATAGCCTCCTGACCTGCAGTTTAATTATAAATTACAAGACATGGAAAAACATGCAAGTAGATTGCAGGGACAAGAACGACCGTCACTTCAAATAAAGTAAGCACACATACCAAGGCCTTGTCCGCCATCATTTTTCTCATTGAATAGGCAAGCCTACAAAGAAATATAATATTCATTAAATAAAAAATGTGCAATGCAAACAAAGGAACATGTGCATCCATGGCTGCAGATGCAATAAATGCAAATGAGGTATCATAACCATTAGAAGGAATGAATTTATAAGAGAAGTATCAGACATCCCACGAACTTTTTAATAGCACGTGCTTCAATTAAAGATGGAAATAAACAAATGAACTTACGTCAGAGTGACAGCTAATGGGAGCCCTTCAGGTACTGCAACAACTACAATGGTCACCTAGAGTTTTATCTAAATAAGTTTAACAGGTCAAAAATAAATATTAATATAAACAGCATCAGTTGATTATCTAAACGAGAACATACTGCAACGGTGAAAATCTTTATGAAGCCATCTATAGCATCACTAACGCTAGTCTTCCCTGCTTGGAACTGGACACTACCACCTGGATTCTCGGTTTTCCCAGTAAAAAATCTGCTCAATCAAAAAGCAAAGTTTATCCATGGCACTTCTGCAATACAAAAACATGAGGTCATATATTGAACCATTTACTAAATCTAAAGCTACCTGATCACAAGGACAAACAGAACCACTACAGCCACGGCAAGCCCAACAATACCAATAAATGTTGCAACCCCATTTAATCGTACCTGAACTAATTAAAACTAGATAATGTCAATACTTTATGCAGCTATACTCAGCATGAAGTGTAGAAGTTCAAGAATTCCAATAAAAATAACCTGCAATGGCGTTTCTTCACCGTTATCCTCTGATATGCTGGCCATCAGCAATCCCCATTCCGTATTTATCCCAACGCTTGTTACCTGTTAAAGAATAACATTCCAACACACTGTAAGCTACCACGTTAAAGTCTATAAAGATAGCCACGATCACTCAGGGAGTACGAACATTTTAAAGAAAATGACCTATACGTTAAAGAAACAAACCTAGTATCGAGTCAATATACTTCACAAGTGACCATAGCACACTTAAAATTGTAGCTAAAGATCAGCAAGTGTGCAAAATAGTATTAACATAGTATTACTAATTGTAGTACTGCTGTACAAAATAATCAAAATAGTAAGGTACGAGGTTCCACTCCTAACCAACGAGCACACCTTCAGAGATGAAGTAACATAACCTAAAAGCAAGTCAGTGTCATATGATACATATTTACATCTCAGTTTTCATAAGCTCCGGCAAACAAGATATCATGAAGGCATATACAAAACGAACATAACATTCTTTAATCTATTTTAACTTACATTAAAATTGTTAAACCATTAAACTATTAGTTGCCCATCTCAATTTGAACAGGTTAGGTATCGTTCTCTTGATTTTTAATATACTTTCAGTTTTCTACTTTTTAGATTCATCGAGTAAAAGCATATTATAAGAAAGGCTCAAACTCAAAGCCTTATGGACTATCCACAAATTGTAGCAGAAAAGAAATACACCAATAAATGTTACTCAAAGAAATGGAGCTAGTGAACACACTACTAGTACGGAGATGAATAATCCCATCAGCAGAAAGCTATATTAAATAACTGGAGCCAACATTCTGATCGATGAGATACATGAAGGCTACCAACAAAGAAAAAAGGAAACATACAAATCATTTGGATCATATAGAGAAATAGAGGTATAGAGGAGAGAATACAACGGAAGCGTGCAACAACTATAATGGCCTCATGCAGACACAAGCAATAATTTAAACCAGTGTCCATCATATACATGATTCCCCATATATTTCTGTGTTGTTATGAACTGTGTGCATTAATTTAGGAGTAAACATGATGTATATGGCAGGAGTGTATAAAGTCTAGAATTATTTCCTTTTGAGAAATATCTTCATATACTATATATGTGTGTGTGTGTTTAACAGTTGATGAATGAAGTAAGATTGAGTTTTTTTCCAAATCAAGTAACATGGTATCAGAGCTAGGATTTGAGAGTTTTTGAAAATTTGAGGATTGTTCTCGGTGGTAGTGGCAAAAGTTTGGGTCAGCAATTTTGGTAGAAGAAAACCGACACTTACCTGCGTCACTCGTTGGCAAGGAAGATCGAAAAAGGCTTTGGTGGTGGTGCAACAACCGTCTTCGCCTTACTTAGCAATGAGCATCGTCTGCTTTGGGTTCCATCAGGTTCAAGCAAGTTGGTCTGTTTCAGTGTGACATCTCACTACGGTGTATGAGGCGATCAACGACAGGAGTCCTTGTGTCGTGCCATCTTTCTCCTACTGTGGGTGAATCAATTGAGAGAAACCAGTGGAACTTGGCTGTCGAGGAAGTCTACCTGACTTGGGTGAGTTTGGATTTCATGGAGTGCATCAGTTTGGGTTTGGGCCTTTATCCAGTAGGTCAAAATTGTTTGGGCCTTGATTAGTGGGTGGGTTTTCTTCATTTTGTTTGGGTTGCTTCTTTATTGGACTTGCATTATTACTGGATAATTTGAGTTGCTTTCTTTTGTCTTCTTTGTTTATCAGTTAATCATTGCCGAAAGTGATAAGAAAGTGGTGAATGAAATCACAGTAACCCCATCCTCAAAAATCACATATAGAAAGTTAACGGGTAGTAGGAATTATGCTCAATGGAAGAGAATTGTTCGCAAGAATGTGTCAAGTGTGGATTCGGGCGATCACTTGATAAATGACCCACATCCAAAATCTGATACTAATCCTGAGATTCAAAAAAAATGGCTAATAGAGGATAAACTTTTTAATCAAATTCAAAATGCCCTTGACCCGACAGTTGACAATGTCATTAATCATTGTGATGCTGTAAAAGAATTGTGGGATTATCTAGAATTTTTATATGCGAGTAAACAGGATGTATCACATGTTCATGAATTGATGTTAATGATTTATCGAGCTGAGCAAAAGGGGCGAAATCTATTTCAATATTATACTGAGGTAAAACAGGCATTTAAGATAAATAGGCTGCATCCACTTTTGATGTAATACATTCTGATATTTGGGGACCTTATCCTATTTTATTTAAGAACGATTTTCATTATTTTGTTACCTTTGTGAATAATTATTCTCAGATTACTTTGTTATATCTTATGAAAAATCACTCCGAACTATTTTCAATTTTCTGCACCTTTTAAGCTGAGATTAAAACTCAATTTAATAAATCTATACGTATCTTAAAAAATGATAATACCAAGGAATATTTCTCATCCACGTTTATTTCCTTTCTATCTCAAAATGGCATTCTTCATCAATTTTCATGTATCGCTACTCCACAACAAAATGGAGTGGCAAAAAGAAAAATTGTCATTTATTGGAAGTTGCACGAGCTCTTTTCTTCCATACGAACGTTTCAAAAGAATTTTGGGCAAATGTAGTCTCTACTGCATATTATTTAATCAATCGTATGCCATCCTCTTTTTTAGATGGTATAATCCCTTATCCCATTCTTTTTCCCTCTCAAACCCTATTCTCTCTTGCTCTAAGAGTATTTGGGTGTACTTTCTTTATCCAAGACATGAGACCTCAAGTTTCCAAGCTTGATCCCAGATCCCTTAAATGTATATTTTTGGGTTATTCTCGATATCAAAAAGGTTATCGATGTTTCTCCCCTTCCTTAGGACGATACTTAGTGTCCACTGATGTCATCTTCTTCGAGTTTTCACACCCTTTTTCAGTACTTCTATGTCTTCCAAACCTTCTCTTAAGTCTGAGGATGATTTTCTTGTTTATACTATGACGACACCTGTGTCACCAATATTCTCTCGTGTACCTATTCAAAATGTTTAGAATCGTCATGTGCAGCAATCTCCAATGGTACCTGCTATAAACCATGATTTATTGCCTCTACCCACTACTTCGCCTCCGAATTCGTCACCCCCTTCCTGATCCTAGTCATGATCTTCCCATTGCCCTTCGAAAAGGTAAATGGTCATGTACTTATCCTATTTCCTCTTATTTCTTACCATACGCTGTCACAGTCTTCCATGTCCTTCATTGCCTCCTTAGAGTGCGTCAGTGCCAAAATCTGCTTCTGAGGCTTTGTCCCATAGTTGCTGGCGAGCGGCCATGTAGGAAGAAATGATGGCCCTAGAACGTAATCATACCTAGGAGTTGGTTCCTTTACCCCTCAATAAAAAGGCAATTGACAGTTAAGATAAACCCTGATATATCTGTTGCTCGAGTGAAGGATCGTTTGGTTGCTAAGGGGTATGCTCAGACTTTTGGCGTAGACTACTCTAAGACTGAGTTGCTAACCTGGCTTCTGTTTAGTTATTCATTTCTCTTGCTACTACCTATCATTGGCCGCTTCACCAAATAGACGTTAAAAATGCATTCCTCCATGGTGATTTGCAAGAAGTTTACATGTAGCAACCACCAGGGTTTCTTGCTCAGGGGAAGCTAGGAAAGGTATGCAAATTGCAAAAGTCGTTATATGGTCTGCAACAATCACCCCGTGCCTTGTTTGAGAGATTTAGTGAGGTTGTGATTGAATTTGGCTTGCAAAGAAGTTCATATGATCATTCAGTATTCTTTAAACAGTCTAAAGTTAAGTGTATTTTGTTAGTTGTATATGTTAATGATATTGTGATTATTGGTAGTGATGGTAGTGGCATCAGTATGTTGAAGGCTTTCATAGGCACAAGGTTTCGAACAAAGGAGTTAGGTCCTTTGAAGTATTTCTTAGGAATAGAGATCTCCCAAAGCAGTAAGAGAATTTTTCTATCTCAAAGGAAGTTTATTCTAGACTTACTGGATGAGACAGGTTTAGCTGCAACAAAACATGGTGATGTCCACTTGATACCAAACATGAAACTCAGAGCTAAAGATGGAGATGTGTTTGCTAATGAGGACAAGTACGGAAGGATAGTGGGAAAGTTGAACTACCTCACAATTACTCGTCCAGATATTGTCTTTCCGGTAAGCGTTCTTAGTCAGTTTATGTCATCTTCTAGAACTTCACATTGAGATGGAGTAACTCATATATTAAAATATCTCAAAGGAGCTCCAGGACGTAGGATTCTTTATAGAGACCATGGTCATTGTAGAGTTGAGGGTTTCTCAGATGATGACTGGGCGGGCTCTCCTGTAGATAGGCGCTCTACTACACGGTATTGTTTTTTTGTTGGAGGTAATTTAGTCTCTTGGAAAAATAAGTAACAAAGTGTTGTAGTTTGATCAAGTGCAGAATTTGAATATCGGGCTATTGGTGGCTACATCACTTACTTAGGGAAATTGGTATTGATAATTCCCATTCTATGAGCTTGTAGTGTGATAATCAAGCAGTTGTTCACATTGCCACTAAATCGAGAACAAAGCACATAGAGACAGACTAGCATTTTGTTCGTGAAAACTTACTGCAAGGATTAATTTCGACTAAACACGTCAGGACACAGGATCAATTAGCTGATGCATTCACTAAGGCCTTAGCTGGGAATCGAGTGAACTATATTTGTAACAAGCTGGCCATGATTAACATCTATACTCCAGCTTGAAGGGAAGTGTTAAAAGCTATATGCATTAACTTAGCATTAAATATAATCTTTATATATACAATAGATATATAGTTTGGTAGGGATTTTGTTAATTGATTTTTTTACCGTTAGAGATAAAGTGCGTCCTATCTGTGAGAGAAGAATTCAAAAATGACGGCTGAAAGAGTGAAATAATGGTCGATATTAATTGGATTAAAATCTTTACCAAACATGCTCATATATATATATGGTAGGTGCATAAGCAGAGAATTATTTCGTGACTAGAAATATCCTCTATATGTATATATGTGTAACTCGTTTATGAATAGAGTGGAAAAATCAAATATTCTCCCAAATCAACTAACAGTAGGAATAGATACATGATTCATTAGATTGGATCTGATAGATTCAAATTCTGTTTGCAATTTCATGAGAAATTGATCCCTCTTGGTGACTTCATGCACATCTAGGACGGCCTGTAAATTGTCGAGTGAAATCGAAGCATAGATAATGCCTGTGTACTCATTCCAAATGTTAGAAAAATTAGAATAATATTCTTCAATGGAGCAAGAGTCTTGAGAAAATTAGCCAGTTCAAACTCCAACTAAAGTTGCTGAGCATTGTTGCTTTGAGTGTAAATTTTTTTAAGTATTCCCACATAGAACGAGCTGACTTATAAGGCTTGATATTAAAAATAAGCTAAGGATCAATAAATCCAATGATCTAGGCCATAATCCCAGAATCCTTGATTTTCCATGCAAGATACTTTTTCTTGATTAGGGGGTGGAAGACATCTATCAATGTGTCCCCGCAGATCGCCTTTCCCTTTGCCCAATAACTGAAAATGAAATGCCCTTGAAGAGTAGTTCTTTCCAGTAAACAAATGCAAACTGAGCCCTTGTTTGAGCCTCATTCTTATCAAAGAATGCATTTTTGAATAGTGTATTGATGGAAAATGTGTGATTAAAAAATAAAGAAAAGTCATGGATTTGTGTATGATATTATTTTATTGAAAAATGTGTGGCTGAAGTAGAGTCAAATTACTGTTAAAGAATGTATTTTAATGGAAAAAATGTGGCTTAAACAAAGGTTGAGTCAGTTTTCTCAATTACCATTATGAAATCTTGTCTAGGTCCGTCAAAAATTAATTAATCACAATCCAAATAAATAATTCTACTCAAACAAAATTATCTCAGCCGAACAGAATACTCCAAGTCCAACCAACAAATAACTAAATTCAACAAAATTATCTCGGCCCAATAGAATACTCCAAGCTTAACCAACAAATAACTAAACTCAACAAATATCCAATTACTCAACACCCCCAACAAGAACCCAAGCCCAACGATAGCCAATTAATTAAACAATTCAACACCCAAAACAACAGCCCAAACTATAATCGGCTGAAAGACGAAACACGAATCAAATAAACAGTCGGCTGCTCGAAGAATTCGATAATTGCAGTACAGTCTGATGACGGAGCAGAAAGGAAGAAACCCACCAGTGACAGGAAGAGGAAAGACAAGTCACAGGCGCAGAGAATCACAAACCCAAATGTCGAAATCAACATGTGATGCTAATGACTCCAAAAGGAGATCTGGCTACAATTAACACCATCGACCACAGATAATGCCGTCGAAAACACGTAGGCCAGACGATGACTACAAAGGATAGAGAATCGAGCACGCACGAGTAAGACGATCTGATACCATAGCACTTTTTGCTGAATAATCTTTCTAGTGTGTTGCTTTTCCTTTATAGTACAAAGCTAATTAAGGATACAAGTTATATAAAGGAAACTAGCTATTATTCACAAGGAAAGTAGTAACTAATAATAAACTTCCTCTAATTGTGCATTTGAAAAATAGAATTCCATTTTTAATCAAGTCAAAGTTGATGAAAGAGCAACAGAATATTACCAGCATGGTACCATAACCATCAGCAACCTTGCATCCAGACATAAGAAATGGTGCCTTTGGATCCTTGCGAACCTGCAGAACCATGATGGTAAACAAGGATATGGGTATGATAACTACCAAATTATACAGTAGATTGCCTACTAAGGCTTACAATTTTGCTCTCCCCAGTCATACTTGATTCATCAATCGCAAGGGAATGACCAGTGATTAGAATTCCATCTGCAGGGACCTGTTAACATATTCAGGAACAAGTAAAGAAGATTATAAGTAACATTGATAGAAAGGTGGCTTCATTTTGAATGAGAGAAAGAGGTCTTCTCATTCACCTGATCACCAATTTTGAGAGGCACAACATCACCAACAACTATATCAAAAATAGAAACCTTAATTCTCCTCCCAACCCTAATGACCTGTATAGAATTACAGAAAATGTGAGGAAAAAAAGCAGAAGGGAAGGAAAAGGAACCAATCCAAAGTGTATAATACCTACCTCCATGTGTATATTTTGCTTCTCTTCATTTAAATTTTGGAATTGGAGAGATTGTCGATAATCGCTTAGAGCTGCAATAGGTAAAAGTAAGTACACATCTCATAACTGCCTGAAGTTGACAATGCCCAAAGGAACAAGCATAACACTAACCCAAGAAGTCACAAAACATGAATTTCAGAGAGAATAAACACAAGGGCAGACAACATCTATACAGTGACTTGAAATCTCAAGTCCACCAGCTCACTCAACGTCATGATACAAATTCCTCTTAATCGAAATTCCACAAAGTAAGAATGGAGAATGACAATTGTGTTCAACCACTGGGCGAACAATAAAAGAGTTAATTGCATTAGCATATATGATGTAAGATAAATAAGAAAACAGTAAGAAAGAGGGAAGAATAAAAAAGAATGGGGGAGAAACTGGAGAAGAAACAGAAATTCAGGGAAAGGAGAGGAAGGAGACGCCAAAAACCAATCTCAATTCATCATAATCATCAAACTTCTCAATTACATGGCAAACTAAATTTAAATAATCAAAACAAAACCCTACTTAGAATGGACTTGGGCCAATACAAGCCCAATTACATTAATAAGAATCTAAAATATAAATAAAGTCCAATTAAAAATAAATAAAAAGTAGATATCCTCATCAACTCTCTCGAGGTTGGAGAAAACTCGACCATGTCGAATGGATAGATCACAAAACCGCAGTAAAGCTAATACTTCAAATGCTTCAAGTTATGCCTCGGAGGACGATCTTCCTGACGAGCCAAATATCGAAAATCAACAAATGATGACAATACCCTATGCAAATTATCCCCAAGCATAAGATCTGACCAAGATGAACCAAGCAACGAAAGATCTCGCTGACTCCTATAAAGTTCTAATGAATCTAGATCACGCTATTGAAGTCTCTTTATGGGATCCATGTACCATCAAAATCAAGTCGATCTATCCACTGAAAAAGAAAGCACTGAACCCTGTTTAGTTCTCCTTCTTTCCTCATTAAAATGAAAAATATGACCATTATCCATCACATCAAGCCACCAAATTTGACTTTCTATTTCTTGTGTGAGGCCCATAACGACTATATTTTTCATTCTCATTCTTCCAAAAATGAAAAACAAGCGAGGACTGAATCTCTCTATCATTGGTCAACACAATCTGATCATTTAAAATAACATCAATATTATCTTTGTGCGCTGTGATAGATGGCATGGAAGTAGACGTAGTAAAAGATTCAATGTAGGAATTCCCATGTAGAGGTGGAAAATGAACATTAGAGGGGTTAAAATAGTCGTTGTAAGCAACGAAGTCCTTAACAATTAAAATAGAGTGGTGGCCAAAATGTGATAAAAGATCAATGACGCATGCATTTGAACCAACATGCTTTAAAATTTCATAAAGACCAGCACTACAAGCTTGCAATATAACATAATCCCCAATATTAAATTCAAAATTTTGCTTATGCAAATTAGCTTGAAGTTGATATAATGCATTACTTGCTTCAAATTGTTTATTGATCTCAATATGCAAGTCATGAAAATGACGTAAAAATGCTAACGTACACATACTAGTATGTGAGGACATTGGAATGAAGTCTAAAGGTTTGCTAGACTTATAACCATGAATAACTTCGACGGAACTCGTACCTATAAACCGATTCACAAAATTGTTATATGCAATTTGAATTGTTGGGAAGATCAAATCTCAATTCCCAATATTTTCCTTGAAAATGGAATGATTGCCAATCATCAGGACTGCTGGGTTGGATAAAGTTAGGACACACAATATTTGACTGAGAGGTATCAAGAGGAAAGGATACAACCCCTCGACACAAAGATTTGGGAGAAGTGTGACCAAAGTCCTTACAATTGAAACACTGCAAGTGAGAAGAAATCATTGGAGTTTCAAAATCTTGACCCTTATTTTCTAAAAAAGGAGGAGCATTAGATGGAGGAGGTCCTAGAAGAGACTTAACAGGAGGCGGCGTCGATATGGGAGGAACATTAGACGGAGAAGGCTCTATGATAGACTATGACGAGGTGGCACTAATGAGACGAGTGAACGATGGTGACTACGCTTTTCATACGGAGCGCTAATAAGTAACTCGTAGTCCCGAGCTAAAGAGTAAACGTGATCAAGAGTAGTGACACCGCCAAAGAAAAGCTCATGCCTAAGTTCATCTCTTAGACCTTGTATAAATCTACTCAAAGTTAGAGCCTCATTCTCAACAACATGACATTTCATTCGAAATTCCTCAAATTGAGCAATATACTCAGTTATTAGCCGATTTCCTTTTGTAAAGGTGTTCCATTGTGTAAAAATTTCACGATTGAAGCAACCATTGAAAGTAGGAGTATCTAATTTAATGTCTCTAAAAAAAGCTCCTTGTAACGAGGAAGAAAATGAATACCATGACGACCATGGCCTCGTTATCACGAACCTGATCTCTATCCCTACAATCGTGTTGAAAATATTTTTGATCACCTTGTCGACGACGATATTATCTATTGTGGAACACTTCAAAATTATTAACATCGTCAAATGAGAGATCTGCTTAAAGTTGTTTAGACTAGCAGCTAGATCTCTACTCTTTTCACGAGTAGTAATCTCAATTTGGACAGTTGCTAATTGAATTTTTAAGTGTTGCTGACTAGTAGTAAGTTGAGCTAATTGTCTAGTGAGTGCATCAAATTGTGAAGGGTCCATGTTTAGGTACTGAAACTAGAAGCGATAAGACAACCAATCGACCACTAGGCATGCACTGTATTAACAGCTAAATGATGTGCAATAGAGAGATCAATGAACAATAAGTGTAAGCAATAAAAAATAACTTCTTCAGCTTCTTTTTTTTTTTGGGGATTAAGCAATTCTAAATATTGCAAACTAATACTGTGGATACATGTAAAATAGCAAAGGAAAAACACCAGTCAAAGTCTCCAATCACGTTGATAAGTGGAGAATAATAGGAAGTCAATTCGTTCAATAGTTACGATCAAGTGGGTTTTAAGGCTAAAATTATAAAGGTAACAGCAACAAAAAAACTTTAAATGATGCAATTTTAAAATGAAGTAGTAGTATAAACCAACAATAAATAGAGACCAGGGACTCCCTCTTTGTCCAATTGCAAAGGCGGTGCCCATGGAAGCTTGAAGTTGTCGGCGATGTACTCACGAGATCTCAGTCCAATCGATAGTGATGCGATCAATATTACTATTCCAATTCACACATATGGATGGCTTCAATAGTCAGTGCACTAACATGGTTCTCGACTTGTCCCGATCCCAGAATGTCAATTGATATTGTCACCCGTAATTCAATGCATAGCAAGTAGTAAAATCTGACAAGTTGTTGAATGTGTATCGGGTATTGTAAGTGTGGTGTTGCAGCAGTGTAAGCAGACGTAAAGAAGGAGGCTCCATTGGAAAGCGTTTGGAGTTATGGGCAGCGTCCAATTGATGGTGTAGGTTCTGCCGACGGCGGAGGCAGGAGCGGCGATGACGCCTGGGAGGCGATTAGATTGGCGGTGGGTGTCACAGTGGCAAAGAAGTGTTAGAGGTTGCAGACTGAAATTTTAGGTAATAGAAACGCTGGTGATAGCAATTGGGCCTGTGATGTTGAGGATGATGTGATGGAGCCTGTAACGAAGTACCGAAGGCAGGGAGTCGAATTAAGATTAGAGGAGATGAAGTTGAAGACCGGGTGGGTTGTGGGCACAGTGAGCGGTTTGAGCGAAGGTGGGTGATGTTGAGAGTTGCAGGTTACGTTGGTGTCGCCAGCGTGGGTAGCATTGGTGGGAGTAGTGGCCAACTGGGTGCCAGCAGGGAGCGATTTGTCTGGTGTGTGGAGATGTTGGTTTGCTGGGTTATTGACGGGGAAGATGCTGTTTAGGTATTGGGTTAATTGGGCGATGTAGAAAATGGGTGTGGGCTGGATTAATGTTGTATGCATTTGGGCTTTGGTGAGTGATATCATATTTGGGCTTAGGTGTGATATTGGGCCGTGGAGAGTTGGAAATAGGCGAAGATGGAATTGGTAGTGGGAAATTGACACTAACGTTTATGGACCCACAATTACTGGGTTTAGGCTATTTGTGATATAGGGATGGATATTGGGCTTGGAGATTTGTGGATAATTGGATGGGAGCTGATTGGGTTTGGTTTAGACTTGGCATTCTAGGGCTTGTATAGCAGCACTTGCTTGGCAAAGAATGCGACTCAACCTTTTTTTTTTTTTTTTTTTTTTTTTTTTTGCAGAAACTGATGAAAATACTAAAACTGAATTTTTTGAATGTGAACAATACAATGAACAGTAACACTTTTTTTTCACTCTTTTTTTACTAAGAGAGAAACTAGAAAAAGAAGAAATTGCTGCCACAACAAACTCTTTCTTTGTGTTACTCTAGGGTTTTAGAGAAACAAATCAATGATTCGCAATCATGGACATGGCGAGTGCGTGATTTTGTGAAAGATGGGTGAAAAATTTTCTAGAAATTAATTGAAGGAGATTTCATGGATCAGATGAATAAATACCACACAAGTTTAGCTCTAATGCCAAATTTGATGCAGGATAAATAAGAAAATAGCAAGAAAAATCGAAAAGAATGGGGGGGGACTATAGAAGAAGCAGAAATTCAGGGAAAAGGAGAGGAAGGACACACCAAAAAATCTCAATTCATCATAGTCATCAAATTGTCTCAATTACATGACAAACTAGGTTTAAATAATCAAAATAAAACTCTACCTAGAACGGGCTTGGGTCAATACAAGCCCAATTACATAAATAAGAATCTAAAACATACATAAAGTCCAATTAAAAATAAATAAAAAGCAGATGTCGTCATCAATATACCTCCAATGTATTGCACTTCTTGTCACATAGAACTTTAACATTGGTAAAGTAGTCATAGTGAGACGAGGTCAAGAGCATCCCACAGTAAAGCACTATCATAAAAACATGCAAGCATACTGAAACGGCACAAAAGTAGAAGGCTAGAAATCCTACATTCGTTAGTATACCTGTGAAAACAATGACAATAAGTACAGCCAAGGCAATGCTTCCCCCATCATACCAACCTTCTTTTATACCCTAAAGAAGAGAATAAACGTGAGTTGGAACAAAAACAAAACAATAAAAAGATGCAAAACATCTATGCATCTCTCTCTATATATTTACAAATTTGATTAATTGCTTAAAATGATAAATTGAAATGTAATCTTCATGTATCACATACACTCTGCACCATCATATATTTTTATCACATTACAGATTTGTGCTTAGCAACCTATCTGTTGAAATATGTTGTATATTAGCTGTTTATAAATTACTGATTTGATTGAGGTATTTTAGTAGTAGAATCAGGTTTTATTTAGGTTAAATACAAATCCCTTATTCTATGGGATTAGTTGCTGATTTTTGGGACTAAATTTCCTCTAATTATTGTAATTCTCCTCTATTTAAAGAGGATCATTGTCTAATTCAATTATCAATCAAAAATAATTATTTTCTCAACTTCTTTTATGGTATCAGAGCTGGTTCTTCTCAACCAGCTTTAATGGCTACTCCGGCCATAAGCAGTGGCGAACCAGCAGGAGCTTCCGATAGTCTCTCCGACACGGCAAACTCGATGGCTCAAGCGACTCATTATAGCCCAACCGATTCTCACTCTCTGCAGATTACTCCAACGAAATTAAATGTAGCCAATTTCGTGGAGTGGTCTTAATCTGTCGTGCTGGTTATTGATGGAAAGCGAAGGCTCGATCACATCACAGGTGAAGCAAAGGCTCTGGAAGAAAAAACAGCCGATTACAAGAAATGTAGGTCTGCAAACTCAATGGTGAAGGCATGGCTGATCAATTCTACGGAACCCACGATCGGTCGAACCTATCTCTACTACAAAACGGCAAAGGAAATATGGGACGCAGTGGCTGAAACATATTCTGACCTTGGAAATTCAGCACAAATCTTCAAACTCAAATCTGCCATTAGAGAAAAAAAAAAACAGGGTGATAATTCTGTTACTAAATATTATAATGATCTATTGATTTTATGGCAAGATTTAGATCTGTTTCAGGATTATCGTTGGAAATGCAGTGAAGATAGTGTGAAATTCAAGCAAATGTTAAACAAAGAGAGGTTGTTTGATTTTTTATATGGCCTCAACAAAGATTTGGATGAAGTGAGGGTTAGAATCCTCAGATCAAAGCCATTACCTGATGTCAAATAAGCCTTTGCAGAAGTTAGACATGAGGAGAGTAGAAAAAGGGTAATGATGGGAAGACCCAAAGAAATCACCACAACGGATCTGTCCAATGCTGAATCAGCATTATTTACAAGCTGAAAAAATAATTTTCTGAACAACAATGGACCTTCCCGAGACAAAAAAAAAGGGGAGAGGCCATGGTGTGATCATTGTCAACTTCATGGGCACACTCGAGAGACATGTTGGGAGATACATGGTAAACCACAAAATTGGAAGCCATCAGGAAAAAGTTGGACACATAAAAAGCCAGGAGTAGGCCGTGGTTTCTCAGCCACTTTTGAGGAGGATAAGAATACTGCAGGAGCTGGACAAAACCTTAGTTTCAGCAAAGAACAACTTGAGCAGTTGCAAGCTATTCTTGCACACAATGCAACAAACTCCAGCCCATCAAATCCCACTGCCTCTGTAGCTCAGAAAGGTAATATTTGTTCTGCTTTATCTACAATTTCAACCAACCAAAGTTCTTGGATCATCGATTCAGGAGCTTCGGACCATATGACAAGCTAACATACATTATTTTCCACTTATAAGCCATGCTGCAGCAGTCAAAAAATAAAAATTGCCGATGGATCCCTATCACCAATTGCTCGAACGGGAACCATTCAAATATCCAAAGAAATAATCCTCCACTCTGTCCTCCATGTCCCAAACATTACCCGCAACCTTCTTTTAATTAGCAAATTGACTAGAGACTCAAATTGTATTGCTCAGTTTACATCTTATGGCTGTAAGTTTCAGGATTTACCTTCGGCGAGGATGATTGGCAGTGCTAAGGAGTGTGATGGGCTATACATCTTTGAGGATAGCCAGCAAGTAACGTGCAAACAAACTCAAGCTTTGACTAGTGAATTATTTTATGCTTCCAATAAAATTATGTTGTGGCATAATAGACTAGGACATCCTAGTTTCCATTATTTAAAGAAATTGTTCCCTTCCTTATTTACCAATAAAAATGTCGACGACTTTTCGTGTGAAACTTGTCAATATGCTAAGCATACTCGTGTCTCTTATCCCATCCAACCATATAAAAATTCTAAACCTTTTTCATTAATCCATAGTGACATCTGGGGTCTATCACGGATAACAAACATTTCTGGGTCCCGATGGTTTATCACTTTTATCAATGATCATACACGTGTGTATTAGGTATTCCTTCTAAAAGAAAAATCAGATGTTACCACTGTTTTTCAAAAGTTTTATGCCATGGTTGAAACCCAATTTCAAACCAAAATACAAATCCTTCGTACTGACAATGGTCGTGAGTACTTTAACTCTACATTAAGTCCATATCTCATAACCAAAGGCATAATTCACCAAAGCTCTTACGTTAATACACCCCAACAAAATGGTATTGCCGAAAGAAAAAATCGTCACCTCTTAAAAATATCTCGAGCCATTATGTTTACTAATTATGTTCCCAAACAATTTTGGGGTGAAGCAGTTCTCACAGCTTCTGCGTCATACTTGACAAATCGGCTCCCTTCTCGTGTCCTTAACTACCAAACTCCTATCCAAATTTTCCTAAAAACTTATCCCCACACACGTTTCCTCACTTTTCTTCGTCTACGCACTTTTGGTGTTCAGCATTTGTGCATAACACAAGCCCCACCAACAACAAACTCGATCCCAGGGCCACTAAGTGTATTTTTATTGGCTACTCTCCAACCCAAAAGGGGTACAAGTGTTATAATCCTCAAACAAAAAAAAACGTGTCTTTTGATGTAACATTCTTTGAGGATCAATCCTACTATCCCAAATCTGCCCTTCAAGGGGAGAATACGAATAAAGAGCAACTTTGGGATATGACAACTTCACTACCTTCTAATTTACAATCCACCGAGTTCACTAAGTCAAGTTTCACGGAACCAAATTTGATACTTCCTCTACCTATCCAGCCTGTCGATTCTGCCGAACCCATTCAACCACTTCCCATTCAATTTGTACCTAGTCCTACTAGACCTCTACCTAATAATTTGGAAATAAGGAGAGATTCACTTGAGCAAAAGAAATCTGAGTTGCGTGTTTACACTCGACGAGCAACTATACCTCATAATGTACAGGTCATTGCACCCTAAGATCACTGTCAAGAATCTGAACCAGAGGTAAACACTCAGTCATTTGATGTAGAGACACATGACTTGGACTTGCCTATTGCTCTTCGGAAAGGTACTAGAATGCGCACTCAACATCCCTTAGCAAACTTTATATCTTATGGTCATCTGTCCTCGAGTTTTCGAGCCCTCACAGAAAAAATATCAGCTATCAAGTTGCCAAGAGATATTCATGAAGCTCTCCAGGTACCCGAGTGGAAAAAGGTTGTCCTTGAAGAAATGCAGGCCTTACAAAAAAAGAAACTTGGGAAGTGGTAGAACTACCAAAAGAGAAGAGTCCAGTGGGCTGTAAGTGGGTCTTTACCATAAAATACAATTCAGATGGGACAGTTGAAAGACATAAGGCAAGGTTGGTTGCAAAAGGTTTTACTCAAACACATGGAGTAGACTATATGAAACTTTTGCACCAATGGCAAAGCTCAACTCCATCAGAATTCTTCTATCTCTTGCAGCTAATCTTGACTGGCCTCTTCATCAGATGAATGTAAAAAATGCATTCCTTAATGGAGTCTTAGAGGAAGAGGTATTCATGGACCTACCACCAGGCTTTGAAGAAGGTTATGGAGGAAACAAAACATGTAGGTTGAAGAAGCCCCTTTATGGTCTGAAACAGTCATCAAGAGCCTGGTTTGAGCGATTCACAATGTCGATTAAAAGTAATGGATACACTCAAGGACAAGCGGATCACACACTCTTCTACAAACATACCTCGGATGGAAAGGTCACTATTTTAATAGTCTATGTTGATGACATCACTCTAACAGGAGATGATTATGCAGAACAAGAGAGATTGAAGAAGTTTCTAGCAAAGGAATTTGAAGTAAAAAACCTAGGACAAATGAGATATTTTCTAGGCATGGAGGTGTCCCGAACTAAACGAGGAAGTTCCATATCTCAACGAAAATATACATTAGATCTTCTCAAAGAAACAAGAATGTTGGGAAGCAAGCCTGCAGAGACACCCATTGAAGTAAATGGGAAGAAAAAAATTGAAGATGTCGGGGAACCAGTTGATCGAGGTCGGTATCAAAGATTAGTGGGGAAACTAATCTACCTCTCACATACTAGACTTGATATTGCATTTGCTGTAAGTGCTGTTAGTCAATTCATGCACTCTCCATCTGAAGTTCATCTTGAAGCAGTTTACAAGATCTTGAGGTACTTGAAGATGACACCTGGGAAAGGTTTATTTTTTGGGAAAAATAAACAACGTAGTGTTGAAGTTTTTACATATGCAAACTGGGCAGGTTCAATTGAAGATCGCAAATCAACATCTGGTTATTGCACTATGGTTTGAGAAAATTTGGTAACTTGGAGGAGTAAGAAACAAAACGTAGTGGCTCGAAGCAGTGCTGAGGTTGAATTCCGTGCATTAGCCCAAGGAACATGTGAGCTAATATGGATCAATCGGCTTCTAGGAGAGTTAAAATTGTCAGGTTTTGTTCCTATGAAACTCTACTATGATAACCAAGCTGCAATAAGTATTGCGCATAATCCAGTTCATCATGATCGTACAAAGCATGTAGAAGTTGATAGACACTTCATCAAAGAGAAGATTGAAGGGGGAGTCATTTGCATGATCTATGTCCCGACATCTCAACAAGTAGCTGATATCCTTACTAAAGGATTATCAAGACCAAGTTTTGAAAATTTCACAACCAAACTGGGAATGATTAACATTTAATCACCAGCTTGAGGGGGAGTGTTGAAATATGTTGTATATTAGCTGTTTATAAATTACTGATTTGATTGAGGTATTTTAGGAGTAGAATCAGGTTTTATTTATGTTAAATACAAATCCCTTATTCTATGGGATTAGTTACTGATTTGTAGGGACTAAATTTCCGCTAATTATTGTAATTCTCCTCTATTTAAAGAGGATCATTGTCTAATTCAATTATCAATCAACAATAATTATTAAAATGTGTAGTTGAAAATTAAGTTTGACCATTTATAAATAAATTATAAATTTGTCAAATGGAGGCTAAACAAATAATCAATTATAGAACATGTTATACTTCTCAAAAGGCAAGGAAAAGGAAAAGATAGCATATTTCATGTGACATTGTCTGGTTACAATGTTTAGCAAAAACACATGCAAATAGCCCCTTTTCCTTTTGGGACAAAATTTCTGTCTGTGTAAGAAAAACAATGAATTACGAACTATTCAGTACTTTTGAATACCAAACAATTCGCCAAAATTGAAAAATTAACAATACCATATTAGATTGATTCAACCAAGCCTACAGATTTAAATCAAACACAAAAGATTTCATATATAAATAGAAGTAGAATGGCATCTTCCAATCAGCAATCAAATTGCTTTTCTACAAAAAATGTCCAGGTGAAAAACTAATTCTCATCGATAAGAAAAGGCTCACAGTTGAAGAAGCGCAGTCAAACAATTAGATGCTGCAAGGTACACAAGCAGTGTGACATGTAATTTTTATAAATTGTATGAAACGAAAGTATACTTCTCACTCGGGAGTGTATAACTTGTTAAAGAACAATCAAAGATTAAGAAAAGAAAGGTGTTTAAGAAAAGAAGAATTGAGGGCAACGAGAAATCAATGTTTATTCTTATAATCAAGTTGTCTGTTACATTGAATAAGCCTCTTTATTTATAGAGCAAATAAGCTTTAAAAATTAAAAAGGAGATAAAATTTTGATAAAATATAGTTGTATGGAAATATCAAAATTAATCTAATATAATCTAATCTGACTAAATATAAATTAAATCAAACTCTATTTTTAAAATTTTAATTAAAATCTATCTATATCTATTTTCTTACCTTGATCTTAATCAAGCAAATTGACGCAAGAACATATAACTTGTTAAAGAACAATCAAAGATTAAGAAAAGAAAGGGGTTCAAGAAGAGAAGAATTGAAGGCAAACAGAAATCAATCTTTATTCATATATAATCAGGTTGTCTATTACATTAAATTAGTCCCTCTATCAAATAAACTAAAAGAGTTAGAAAGGAAACCCATCCAAGCCCTAGGACCACGTCCATACATAAAAACCTTAGAACAGCAAAAAACAAAGAAAAACAATTCATCTCTGCAGCAACTAGTCTTTTCTTATCATTCTTAGTTAGTTTCATAAATAATAATAATAAGAAAAAGCAGAGAGACAGAAAAAAGAAAAGGAAAAAAAGTGGAAAAATAAAAATATAAAAACTAATCTAATCTAGCTAAATATACTTTATATCAAACTCTATTTTAAAATCTTAATTAAAATCTATCTGTATCTTTATTCTTATCTTGATCTCCATCAACTTTTCTCAGGTATGCAATCAAAATTTAATAAATAGGCTCTATTGTCACCTTCTGACCTTACCTCAGTCTTTATGCCCAGTGCCAAAGAAGCAGCTGCAGCAACCATCAAGATAATTAGAGTTGTGTCTCGACAAGCCTCCCAGAGAAACCTCTTTAGATAAATGAAGAAAATAAAATAATTTCACATATTTATTCATGAGAGAATGTTTGCCAGTAAAGACAATGAACAATTACAGCTCCAAATTTGGGACTTTCAATACTCACCCAAAAACTCCTGCCTTTTTTCCTAGGATATGTGTTTGATCCAAAAGCTTTTGTTCTGCTTATGAGATCAGTATTGTTTGCAGGTACACCTTTGTCCAAATGCGATTTTACTTTACCAGCGACTCCTTTGACCTGATGCCAAGGACAAAGGGGAAAAATAAAAAGAAGTCGAGACATGTGTGAGTAATAATGACAAGAATATTGCAGTTTTGCATAAGAAAAGAGAACAAAGATAAAATGTGAGACAGTGGACTTGCCCCTCCATATTGCTCCAGCAGAGAAAGATCGTGCTCCCGGGATATTGAAACTAGCTCCTCTAAGCTAACATCAAAATCGCTAACATGGCCCTGTATTGAAGGCAGTTTCTTCGGCACTCCTGGCTCTAAAATGCAGAAATGTATCTTTAGTTCTAATAATCAAACAAAAAACCAATAACGTTCTTTGTCGGCCTAGAGATCATACTATGAGCCTATTTGAGCCCCATTTTTTGTCCAAAATCTATTTTGGAATAGTATTTTGATGGAGAATGTACGGTTAAAAAATAAGGAAAAATTTGGGTTTGTATGTAATATTATTCAATTGAAGAATGTGCAATTGAAAATAAGAGAGGAGGGACCAAACAAGGACTGTAAATCAAATATCAAGATTAAAGCATGATGGGAAATGTCAAATGAATAATAATTTAAACAAATAAGCAAACTTGCAGGTTGTATATAAGTTAATATAAACTTGAAGAAGAAAACAACAACTATGAAAAAAGCCATAGACATTTTCGTCTCACAGTTTAGAGTGTCACAGCTTGCAGTTACTAGCTTAAACACGAAATATAAGAATAACAATGAAGATGGTGATTTATCACATTGTTAAGAACATAATGCCAATATTCATAGGAGTACAGCGAAAAAATATGTGTTCTTCATTATAAGAAAAATCTGCCAATTGGTGCTATCTATTGAAATTTAACCTCTAGTCAATTCATTACATGCCATGGTACAAAGAATGAGAATTACCATTCACTCCTTCGCCAGCTGCTTGGAAGAGAACAGCAGCCTGTTGAAGCAAAATTGATTAAGAATTGATGACAAACTCAATAAACTTCCACCTAATAAAGAAAGAAGTATGGTTTACCCGAATGACTTGAGCATGCATTCTAATCTTAGCAATTAGTTGCTTCCTCTCTTCCTCCTTTTTCAAGTCCAACGTATACCGAAATCGGCGAGAAGCATTTAGCACGAGTGCAGCTTGCTAAGGAGAATACAATTAATTTAGATCAAAGATTGAACCTCTCCTTAGATAACCATATACATATACAAGCAATACTAAGTACTAACATATCAATATGCAGAGTGGTGCTATATGTGTAGAACAGATAGGGAGATGATTAACTACTTGTTCTTTCATTGTGATGCTGCTCGGTTGCTGTGAAACAATATTTTAATGTATGTACACATGGATTGGGTATTCCCGATGCGTATGGAAGATGTTTTCAAGGCATTGAGAAGAAAGTTTCGCAATAAGGATAATAAGCTTGTATGAGACCTTATTTGGAGTTGCATCGTATGATGTGTGTAAAGAGAAAGTTGTTGTTTTGATGATCAAATACGAACAACAGAGCAGATTAGAAAATTGCTTTATTTGACATTGCATACTTGATTTAATGTTGTAACTACTAGTTATATAGACAAGCTGCCCAATTTCATATTGTTCTTCACTGGAAGTGTATTATCTTTTGAATAATAAAATATGCGATTACCTTTTTTAAAAAAAATTAATGAGGCAAGGACTATGTAGTTTTTACGAATGGGGATATGAATTGAAACTCGAAAGATTTGATTCTCACAAAAGATGGAATAAAAATCATTCGATCATGAATTAATGGTCAGGAATAAGCAAATACGTTGCTATCTTTACATTGTGTTGAACTTCTGTTTTCATAACAGAATTGGATATCTTGGGACGACTCCTAATATTTGGAAAGATGCCAATTATTTGTTGAAAATACATGAACTTTCATTGAAGGCAATTTACTTCTCACTATCATGACAATTCCTTTTTGTAGGAATTTGATTTAAAATTGGTTAAAAACCATGGAAAAGTTTATTTAGTATGAACTTCGCCCAAGTATTCGGACACGATCAGATGATCAAATTACGAAAGAAAATAGACTAACTTGTTTTACTTGACCAATCATAGTATGTTTTAAATCTCAAAATTAATTCTAGATGAATGATATATTTTTTTCCAAAAATGGAAGAAAAATTGAATTTTGGCCGTACAAGATTGTTACAACCTAGCACCAAGCGAGCACCAAGTCTCTGCCTTTCACGCTCGAGCGACGAAGTAAGCGGCCAGTGATCAGCGTGAAAGGGTGCTTCCTTTCATGAAAAATGCTAAGTTTTGGGGTGTCTCTCAAACCACAACTCCTCAACCTCTATAAATTGGACTCCCTTGGTGGTCTAAAATCATAAATTACGATATCCATTGGTTTGTTAACAAGTGATTCAATTTCCTACAAAATTGAAAGTTCATTTGGCAAATTTGTGCCAAACTTATGGCTTACCATTTGGTTTCGATTGATTTAATTGATAGAGATGCCTAATTTTTCATTGATAGACAATGAACAAATGAAAGTGACTTTTCCTTTGTATACTTTGTAAGATGGCAGCACAAAATGAAAGTGTATTGACTTCCACATGATGTTGATAATCATTTTATATGATTTAAGGTGGAATATGTATTATGGATATTGTGTATTTGATAGATGAATTGAACTTTAAACGAGTTGATAAACTCTAAGTTCAAGTATAACTTAAAATTGTGGGATTATCATTGATGCTTGAGAACTTATATTAAAAGTTCAAGACTAGTGGAAACAACATTACTAGTTGTACATACATTCCTAATCGAGGAATTGTAGGGGTAATTTATTTAAAAATTATAAAATTTACATTCCCTATACTTTATAATCATAGAAAAATGTCTATGAAGGAGAAAAGGAAGGAAACTCTTATACTAATTTTAGAAGTTTAAGGATGGTTTATAAACGTGATGCACTCTAAGTTAAGGTAGATAAACGGGATGAAAATCGATTATTGCACTTGTATTGGATATGCCATAATAATTGTTGGAATATTTGAAGAATATTCATAAGTGGAACTATGTTGTAGTCAACAATGGTTCAATTGTAAATCGGTTACGTATGATTCGAAATCTACTAGTAAAAATGTTTGACTAGAGCAATAATGTGTTAGAAATCTTTCAACTCTACTGTTAATTGAAAGATGATAAAAGCTGTAGATAAAGCTAGTGAGAACCACATGGTTTCATTAGAGGATTTCTTTGTTGATGATATACTGAGTCACTTGTAATAGTAAGTCTAGACACATACGCCAGAAACAGAATACATCGAGCAGTTGATCTCATTAGTGCAAACTCGTGGATCCATTAAGAGGTTTACCAAGAGATAAAGTATACTACATATCGAAGGGAATGTGATTAAAGCCTGCTACGTAAGAGCCTTTGTAATGGTAACCTAACCTTGTTGACTAAAGATTCCAAGATCTTGATTCAATGGGACAACTAAGTTATACAGATTCCTTGAAGCACTTAGGAAATAATTCATACTCATTCCTATGGTAATTAAAGTGCTTTCTACAGAGTATTAAAAGGTTAAGTTACGTTTTTAATGATTCATATATCTTGATTGAATAAAGCAGGATAGGGCAAAATACTTCCAGTAGAAGGTCACATATGTAAGTGTAAAGTGTGGTTGCTTCTATGAGAATTGTTTGAAGCTAAAATTCTCTAAAACACTTATAAAACCCAAGAGTAGTTCAAGGCCAAAATGAACACAATCATGAGAACCGAAACGATGTAAGAAAGACATTGTGTTAGTATTGTTATCTTGGTTTACATCAATGGCTGAATGGTTCAAGACTTCGTATTCACCAATTAGCCAAGTAAATGCAATGGTATTTCACTAAGGACTGTTCAAAGCCAAAAGCTACCTCTCCTGATATAATGTTTTTCCGCTTATCTCTCTATTAATGTTTGCATAGTCATTCGCATTAATTTTCATTAATGTGGGAAATTGTTAGAATTTTGTATCAATTGATAATTTAAGGTGAAATCATTATGTGGTGAATGAAAAATTAAGCCAAATTTTAGTTGCTTAAATACGTGAATTGTTGGAAAATCGTATAGAATATTACGAAATATTCTAGAAACTATTTGGATGGAAAGGTGTCTTTCCATGTGAAATATCATGACTTTTGGTATGATTATTTTATAATAGGTGTCCTTTCATGTATAGAGATAAATTCCAAGAGATGCGTGTTTCGATATGGTTGTGACTTTTGAGACAAACATTTCCAATTATTATATATAGACCCCATTTGTTTGATTTTATTCATTCAATTCATAATTCCATATCATATATTTCATTTGTGTTGCATCGGCACTGTAGCTTTAGGGATGAGTGGCGTAAGTGGATCCAGTTATATATCTCATTTCGTTCTCAATTTTGGCCAATGGTACCCTTGAGGTTATTTTCAGAGCAGCAGAGGTTTGAGGTAAGGGGATCCATCGTCTCCATTGCTATTTGTTATTGTCATGGAGGCTTTCAATAGAATGTTTGAGAAAGCTATGGGCTAGAATTTGATAAGGGGCTTTACAGTTGGTCACTTGCAAGTGTTCCACTTGTTATTTGCAAATGATGCACTGATTTTATATAATGTAAATGATGAGCAATTCAGGAACTTGCATCATTTGCTCCTATACTTTAAGCCATGTCAAAATTGAAGATAAATCTTGCATAAATTTTAAATTTTTCCAATACGAGAGGTTGTCAATGTGGAGTTGGCTAATATATTGGATTGAACGATTGTGCAGTTGCCTATATCATATTTAGGGTTCCTTTAGGGATATGGTTTAAAAGTATACATATTTGGAAGGGTATTGTGGAAAGGGTGGAGAAAAGGTTAGCAAGGTAGAAGCATATGTAACTCTCGAATGGAGGCCATCTAACTCTCATTAAATCCACTCTCTCTAATCTCCCTACATATTTATTGTCATTGTTTTCGATTTCTATTGCAGTGGCAAATAGATTAGAGAGGATTCAAATGAAATTTCTTTGGTCAAGGTTGGGGGAGACGAGGAAACTTCATTTGGTTAATTGGGGAGTTGTTTGTCTCCTATGAGTATGAGAGCCTCGAATTGAAGAGCCTTGTTTTGTTTAATAAGGCATTATTAAGCAAGTGGTTGTGGCGATTTGGAGTGGAGAGGGAGAATTTTTGGAGAGAGATCATTGGGCAAAGTATTGTGTGATGGATGGATGTTGGTGCTCGGTGGAGGGTTGTCATTTTTATGGGATGAGTTCGTATAGGTATATCCAACGAGGATGGAATGCCTTTCAGGATATATTGAACTTTGTGATAGGGAATGGTAATAATATTATATTTTAGGATAATTGGTGGTGTGGAGAACAACAGCTAAAGGTAGGGTTTCCTTCCTTGCATTGCATTGCTCTGGTGCCTTCTGCTATGGTGAATGATGTATTAGCCATTCACAATGGGAGTTACAGCTAGAATATTATTTTGAGGAGGGATTTACGAGATTGAGATTGAGAATTGGATGATATTTTTTAAGTTTGCACTTATTTTAGATACCTTTTGAGATCTATGGAGAGTTCATTCCCCTAAAAATGGTGTGACAAAGCAAACTGCCTCCACGAGTGGCATTTTTATTATGGAGAGTTGCAAGGGGCAAGTGTTAGTGATGGAAAATCTTCAAAGAAAAGGTTTTTACGTAATCGAGTGGAGTTATATATATAAGAGAGATGGGGAGAGGAATAACTTGTTTATTCATTGTAATGGTATTCGTTGGTTGTAAAACAGTATTCTGGCTTCTCAACATATGGATTGGGTGTTGCCTAGGCATATAGAGTACGTGTTGCGAGCATGGAGGAAAAAATTTCGCAATAAAGATAGTAAACTTGTATGAAATCTTATCCCAAGAAGCATTCTATGGTGTTGTGGAGAGAAAGAAGCAGTCGCCGCTTTGAAAACCAAACATGGACGACGAAGTAGATCAAAAAATTGTTTTATCGAACTTTGTACACCTAGCTTAATGATTCGGCTATTAATCCTATAGAAGTCATTTTTTTATTTTCTTTTTGCTTAAATTGATAATACACTTTTTGTTTATTCTTTTTTTATTAATAAATTTATTTGATTCCCCTATCAAAAAAATCGTTTTATAATTATTCTATTTTTACATAATTACTGTTGAATTGAAATTATATGCAATTGTTTCAAATCATAAAATTTCATGCAATCGATCTATTATCCTTTTCTTTAATTAAGAATAATTTGTGTTCTTAGAAATTTTGTTAATTACGTGAAAAATTTTGAGTTATGTTCTTAGAAATTGATGGAAAAAAAATTTATTATTTTATTTGCGCCAAAATTAAATGATTGAGCCATGACTAGTGACTTTACAACAAATTTTGTGGACATCGTGATTCTTGAAAATGTTAATTAGATGGTAAGAAATATTATAATTTTTCGAGTATATAATGAATTTGCAAAATAAAAATTTTTTAAAAGTCTTTAATCAAAGTCTAAGAAGACTTTTATTAATTTTTAACAAATACTTAGAAGTCTAGTAACTAGGGAATTTTCCAAAAGTCAATGTTTATTTGAATGCGTCGTGATTTATAAAGACTTTTAAAAATCTATAAAAATCTCAATTAAATACACTTAGAATTTTTAAAATCCGGAAGTCTTTAAAAAATCTCAAATAAACAGCCCCTTAGTATTTTCTGTTCCAGTTCATTTTCTTATGCTTTTAAGAAAATAATAGAATCAAAATCAAGATAAACCAAAATTCAGTGGGAAAAAAAAAGAAATAAATTAATAATGAAACACACTTACTCTCCACCTCCGCAACCGATCCACCGGTGCACTTTTAGTTCGAACAATATCGAATGGTCCTGAACCTTCATCTTCCTCCTCCTCACCAAACTCTCGGCGACTGTTACCAGCCTCGAGGTCGTTACTGGTGCGTCTATATGGCGAGCTCTTGAAGTCCTCTCCACTCCCGTTGATCATTCTGAAGTCGCAGGAGAGATGACACTCCTTAACGAGCAAATAATCACTATTTCACTATTCCCTCACAATGCGAACTCAAACTACGGAATTTTTCGCCGCTCTTTTAGGTTATCTAGTGGCGATTGCACTGAGGAAACTACCAGGAAATTTCCATTTTTTTTTTCCTGGTTTAAAAATTCTTCTTCGATAGCGGTGGGTCAATACGGTGCAATAAATCACGGAATTATGAATTTATGGATTGGTTCACGTGGGAACTAGGTGGCTTTTCCATTTTGGTCCGTTTAACACTCATTTTTTTGTTGTAAGAATAATAATGAAAAATATAGTCGTTACGGAATTCACACAGGAGGTAGAAAGTCAAATATAGTGATTTAGGCTCCATTTGGGAAGGATTTTGAGAATTGATTTTTAGATTGTTAGGGGAAAAGTGAAGGCACCTGTGAACGAATAAGTCAAATTTTACGGTTGGAATAATAAAATAATAGTCAAAAAATTAATTTTTTGAGTGAAAAATCACTTCCAAACGGCTTTTTAATGTGATGAATAATGGTCATATTTTTTTTATTTTTATGGCCTAAGAAAGAAAATCGAACCGAGGTTTAACCTATCATTGAGAGCTACTTGGATTGGGGTTACAACCAGGATTACATAACATTATTTTGAGAACTGTGGTTGGCTAACATCGGACTTTAATTAATAAATAGCTTTTAGAGGGTATTTGATTCTTATTTTTTTTAAAATACATTTTTTTTATTTTTTTTCAACTAAATATTTTTTATTAAAATGATATTACACGCAAATCAAAAAAAATTCCTTCTTTTTTTGACCACGCATTCTCCATCAATCTATTATTTCAAAATATATTTTTCAAAAAGAATATAGCTCGAACACACCCTTGAATTTTGTCCAATAGAGTAAGATTTAGGATAAAGTAACCATTAATTTTATTCACATATTTTATAGAATTAATAATTTTTATATCAAAAATTTTATTAATTTTTATTAAAATCTAATTTTTATCAAAACTAAACAAGGGCTTTATATGGTTTGTTTTCAGTGTTACGGGTAGATGTTGTATAGATATAAAAGAGTTTCTTAGTTTTACTTACAATCTTTCATGTCATCTCATATTTTCAGCTTTGAGTATCATTTTTTAAGCCAGGTATCATCCAATATAAAATTTATATATCTAAAATGTTATCAAGAATAAAAAGATGAATTTCCTATAAATAATAGGAATTTAATTGTTAAATATAAACGAATATAAATTAATAAGTCATATATAGAGCTCTAGTATTTTATTTAGTTTTTAAATATTGCATTGATTAATTTATCACATTAACATTATATTTATTATATAAGATGATTATTATTTATTGATAACAAATTCCAAAGGTTTATAAAATTTTAATGAACTAATATATAGAGTTCGTTTGATTCTCATTCTTCTAAGAATGAGAATAAAAAATATAGTCGTTGCGGGACCCACACAAGAGATAAAATGTCAAATATGGTGACTTGATGTAATTGATAACAATCATATTTTTCATTTTTGTGGCCAAAGAATGTAAATCAAACGGGGGCATACTATTGTTTAGCTAAATTTTATTTGAATATAAAAAGTACATTTTTACGGTTAAAATCTTATTTTAGTTTTTAATTTATAAATATGAAGTTTTCGTTTGTTAATATTGATAAATGATAAGTTCACATTTGTTAATATTTAAGTTAAAAAAGGACATTTGTTAATATTTATTGATAAATTTATCAATATGAACTAATATATGATTAAATTTTAAATTTTAAATAATTTATTATCAATTTTTTTAAAAGAAAAATATGTTTTAATTTTTTACTAGGACGCATATGCAGATTTAGTGCTTGTTTGGTAGGAATTTTAAGAATTAATTTTTTGACCGTTAGAAATAAAAGTGGGTTCTACCTATGAGAAAATAATTCAAAAATAACAGATGAAATAGTAAAATAACGGTCAAAAATTAATTTTAATTGACTTAAAATCTAAAGCAAACAAGCTCTTAGATTTGTGATGCATAAAGTATTTAACTATTAATTAATGAGTAATGCTATTCATTACCACTTATGTTAAGCACAAGTTTAAGTGGTAATTACATGATATTAAATGATACATTAATTTAAATACATAATCAAATGACTCGTTTAATAGAATAATAAATATTATTTAACATAAGTGATTCACGGATGTTAAGACACAATTTATGTAACACTAATATGATATTAAATAAAAAGTATAATCAAATAAGTTATTTAATTTACATTTCATTAAGTCTATCACACAGCTATACATAGATCGATTATAGCACTAGAATTGCTAGATAATATTATTCTTAATTGAATCTATAAAATGTAACAATTTAGACTGACGTTATAGTATCACTAGTATTAAATAACATTATTCTTAACTAGTTACCGAATGAACAAATTAAATTGTAAGCAATAAATAAATAAATAAATAAATAAATATATATATATATATATATATATATTTTTCACGTGGACATTTTAAGCCTATTATTAACTTGATTTTATATTAGACATAGCTCAAAAAGTGATAAGGAGTTCACGGGGTAATCAATTTATTAATTTTTTTAATCAAAAGGATGTAATCTATCGTCCGGTCTCTAAGAAAGGTTAGTCATATGAATCGAGTCTTCACCAAAATCTCGTTCATATTAATAGTGTTTTTCATCTTTTATTATAGATAAAAATTATATAAATCATATTGCTCCAGGCTCCTACTTTCATTATTGACGAAAAATCATATTATTTAAGGAAAAAAAGAATTTTTTAAGAAAAATGTATGAAAATCTGAATACTTAATGAACTCCAAGGCAAGAAGAAACGTTATCTTTTAAGAAATGTTTATCCCCTATCCAACAAAGTCACAATTGGGGTATGATAGAAAATCTCTCTCAGAATACAATGGAGACGTTTGATTCAAATTGTGACTATTTGATCAAACCAAGAAGACACTCGAAAATAACCGATTGATGCCAAGAGAAAGAAAGAAAAATAAATTTTTTAATGTGTTTTGCAAACGAGAATTCGCCCAGAATTTATAGAAATTGAGGCAACCGTTTGAATAGGTGTGTCTCTTGAAATCCTTACATACATCTACTGAAAGTGACTATTAAAAACGAACAGATGCACATATTCAAAGACTTCTGAAAATAAAATTCTCTTTGCGCAACGGCAAACACTGGTCGGAACGGCAAATCATTCACAAAACAAAAATAAATACATGTAAAATGATGAAAAATATCTAACAAAATTTATTACTTTTATTGTTATTTTTGGGAAGTTTAATTGCTTTTACAAAAATGTTTAAAAATTAAAAAGTTAGGCTAAGATCGGAATACACGCGTCCTTGAATTGGGCCAGGAAAAGTGATGCACCTCACGTTGCTGAAACGTGTTTCCAAAGAAGATGATGGGTGTAGCGTGGGGTTCATTCATTGCGTTGGCCGGTTAATTCGATTTTGGAAAGGGAGGGTCACGCTCACTGATCTTACATGATCTAATGTCGACATAATAATGGTCGACATTGTTTTAATAATTGTTAATTTTATGCATTTCTAAAGATTGAACTATAACCTTAAAGGTCCCCCATCACCCCGTTCATAGCAGCATAGTGAGAGAGGTTAATCACGGAATGTGCCTCAACAGGTTAAGGAACAAAAAATGTCTGTATACTGGTGCCCACAAAGAGTCTCAATCCATGTTTCAGGAATCGATCCCTCACACTGCGGTTACCAGCAAGACTGAGTATACCTCACCCTTATCATTTACACCATTAAGATATACATTTCTATTATAACAAATATTGGTTTTTATGGAAAATATACTCAAGATTTTTCTATGTGAAAAGCTATAGATTTACGTATGTATTGGAATTAAAAAAGAACTTCGATTTTGCACTAACAATATGTAATTGAAAAAGAAAAAACTAGACAAAATTATCCATAAAAGACACTATCAGATCAAACTCATAATAGTTCGTTCATTTTTTCAAATGCTGATTATCATTACGATTAAGTGCTTTTGATATTGCATTATTATACGAGGATTAAGTCGATGTCAAGAGTTTTCAAATTAATTCATCTCATTTTACTTGATCAAATTATGTAGAGAATGTATTGCTTGCAAGAATTAGGCTTCTATAGGTGATAAAATACAATCTAATGCTATGGAGATCAAGTATAACATGATTTGATATATTTATATACAACTGAAGATATATGTTACTTCGTGCAAATCAATATTGACAAACGAAGAAATTTTCTGAATATAAATTCAAACTTTTTATTGAATCATACTCACCTCAATCCATCGACTTAATAATAGTGTCCTTGTTTCGTTTAAATTAAAAATTAGAATTTTAATAAAATGTATGATTGAAAAGTTTATAAAAGTCGATGAGTATCATCCATTGAAATATAAAGTTCATCTTTATGTGATATTATTAGAACATGAGCTGTCCGATCGATTATGGAAAGAATAAAAGCAGAAGTTTGCTCATGATGACAGGGCCAGATGTCTGTGTGTGTAATTAATATGTCTTATAAAATTTAAACACTAGGACACACGACAAGAACTACAATTAAATATTAAGTATATAAATGAATGGTGTCGGCACAAAATTTAATAGAAAAAAAAAAAGGAAAAAGACGCAATAATTTTTTTTTGGAAAATGGAAAGTAAAAGAAGCATGAAAAGGTAGTAATAATTGGATTATGTGTTTATTTTCTATAGCTTAAATAGTTATTAAAAAAATTAATGTCAAAATTAACAATTAATTTTAATCGCACAATTCATAATATACGTAAATTACTTTTTATTAAAAGAGGGCCAGATGTCTGTGTGTGTAATTATTTTATGAATTACCAGTTTAAAAAATTATGAGCTTTATGAGAAATTAATAAAATATGTCTTATAAAATTAAATACTAGGACACACGGCAAGAACTACAATTAAATATTAAGTATATAAATGAATGGTGTCGGCACAAAATTTAATAAAAAAAAAAAGGAAAAAGACGCAATAATTTTTTTTTTGGAAAATGGAAAGTAAAAGAAGCATGAAAAAATAGTAATAATTGGATTATGTGCTTATTTTCTATAGCTTCAATAGTTATTAAAAAATTAATGTCAAAATTAATAATTAATTTTAATCGCACAATTCATGATATAAGTAAATCACTTTTTATTAACATATTTTGAGATACCCATAAATATTTACTTATTTATTATTCATT